ATGGATGGCAGTATAGGCCCTCCCCCGGGCGGCTCGCCGTCCGGGGGAGGGTCTCACACACAGCGAAGTCCTCCGCCGTCGCGGAGGGAGCTCGCCCCCTACGAGCTGTGGTCCAGGGACGAGGACCGGCGGTCCGCAGAAGGGGTGTGAGGCGGAGGGCCCAGGTGGCCTGCGATTTAGTGCTGTTCAGTCCCAGGCCCCAGAGCGCCCGACCCCTTCCCGAGGGGGTAGCGTGGCGTCCCAGATCCATCTTCGTTTGTCCCGGGGCCCGGGTGCTGCCTGTGGAGGCCGAACTGAAAAGGAAGACGCCGCGATCGAACAAATCATGTGCAGGTCTTGGCGGGGCGGCCTTCTGGGAGTGCAGGGGGCTTCGTATCCAGGATCGGAGGCGTCTGGGGCCCGCGCACTGCGAGGACCTCCGCCCTCGTGGAGCGAACCGTGGTTCCAGGGCGCGGAACAGGTGACCCCCATAACCCCCACACCCAACAGGTTGATGCTTTCAATCCTGGCGCTTTTGTTCAAGACCTCTCGGGGCCCGCGGACTGAAGACGGCACATCGTCAGACGTCTGCGAAGGAGGCCCAGAGGATCGAGAACCTCCATCCTGGTCGAATCTCCCCTTTGGAGTTGGACGTGGCCTTCTGAGAGGGCGGGGGGCCCTCCTCGAAGGTCTCGGAGGCGCCCGAGGAGCCAGGACACGGTCTCGGAGGTCTCCGACCCTCTGCCCCCCCCGAGGGTAGATCGCTCAAGCGAAGAGGTGCTCGTTCAAGCGAAGAGCTGGTCCGTTCAAGCGAAAACGCAACCAGCGAACACTACGTGAATAGACGCAGGTAGACACAGGGGTGACACAGAGGGACACAGAGGGACACATAGAGACACAGAGAAAAACACAGAAAAACAGAGAGACACAATGGGAGACAAAGAAAAACAGAGAAACACAGAGGGACACAAAGGGGCACATGAAACACAAGAGAAACGCAGAGAAACACAGAGGGACACAGAGGGACACAGAGAGACACAAAGGGACACAGAGAGACACAAAGGGAAGCAAAGAGACACAGAGGGGCACAGAGAGGCACAGAGAGACACAACGAGACACAAAGAGACACAGAGGGAAACAGAGGGACACAGAGGGACACAGAGGGACACTGAAGGACACAGGGAAACACAGAGGAACTCAGAGGGACACAGAGAGTGACACAGAGAGAGACACAGAGGGACACATACAAGTACACGGGACACAGAGGGACACAGAGAGACACAGAGGGACACATACAAACATACGGGACACACAGGGACACAGAGGGACACAGAGGGACACAGAGAGACGCAGAGGGACACAGAGGGACACAGAGGGACACAGAGGGACACAGAGGGTCACCATAGGGACACAGAGGGACACAGAGGGACAGCGAAACACAGAGGGACACAGAGGGGCACAGCTGGGAACCGGGATTTAATGCTTTTCCAGGCTCGATCACTCCAAAATCTCGGTTCCCGCAATCCCAGCGGTCGCCGCTCGTGGGGGCGGGGGCGGGGCACCCGAGAGAGCCGGGAACCGGGATTTCGGGCTCCTGCAGGCTCGATCCCTCCAAAATCCCGGTTCCCGCCATCCCGGCGGTCGCCGATCGTGGGAGCGGGCGCTCGGGGTGCCTGACAGAGCCGGGAGCCGGGATTTCGGGCTGTTTTGGCTTCGATCTCTCCAAAATCCCGGTTCCCGCCATCCCGGCGGTCGTTGGTCGCGGGGCCCTGCGCGCACTCCACCTCCGAGTTTCCTGGCCGATTTTGCGAAGGCGTCCCGAGCGAGGGCGCGGGAGGCACCGGGAACTGGGATTTCTGCGCCTTCTGGGCAGGTGCTCTGCAAAATCCCGGTTCCCGCCAGCCGCGGGGCGCAGGGGCGTGGAAATCTTGGCTCCTGGCGCCCTTGCGCCCCGCGGCAGGCGGGTACCGGGATTTTCGTTGGCTCCTGTCCGGGACGTGCATGTGGAAATCCCGGTTCCTGCCAGCTGCGGGGGGCGTGGAAGTCTTGGCCCCTCCTGTTCGGAACTTGCAGAAATCCCGTTCCCGCCACCTGCGGGGCGCAGGGGCATGGAAACGTCGTGCTGAAATTCCGGTTGCCCCCAGCTGCGGGGCGCAGGGGCGTGGAAATCGGTCCTTGGCGCCTCTGCGCCCCGCGGTTGGCGGGAACCTGGATTGCTGTGAGCTCCTGCCTGGAACGCACAGGAATCCCGGTTCCCGCTAATCGCGGGTGCGGGAGCAGCCGAGCCGCGCTTCCTTGCTCCACGCTGCGTGTTCGAGGAGGAGAGGAGGAGGAGGAGGAGGAGGAGGAGGAGGAGGAGGAGGAGGAGGAGGAGGAGGAGGAGGAGGAGGAGGAGGAGGAGGAGGAGGGAGGAGGAGGAGGAGGAGGAGGAGGAGGAGGCGGAGGAGGAGGAGGAGGAGGAGGAGGAGGCGGAAAGGGAGGTCGAGGGGGATATCAGAGAAGAGGGGGCCACAAAGAGGATCAGAGAAAAAACCGCAGCTTTTCATCCCTTTTCGCGCGCACGCGCCGAAAGAATTTCGCTCGAACGGCTTCAGTTTTCGCGCGAACGTTTTCGCGCGAACGGCGCACTCCCAGGAGGCCATACCCCTCGCCCCGCCGGCCCTCCCTCCCTGCGCGCGAGGAAGCGGGCGCCGCCGTCGGGTTCAGGTGCGTCCACGACGTGCGGAGGCGGGTGTTCTACGCCAAGTTCGAGGCCAGGAACACCGAGCCCGACGCGCGCGGGAGCGATTTGGAGCGCGCGACCAAGGGCGCGATCACCACGCTGCTCGATGTCGCGGAGGCCTGCCGGTCGCGCAAGATCACCATCGGGCTGGGCCCCGAGGACGCGGGCTCCGCGGAGCTCGTGTGCTCGTTGCTCTACCTGGGATTCCAGGCTGGCGGAGAGAAGACCCAGAAAGATCGGCAAGGGCGATGACGGCGACGGCGAGTGGCCGCACCTTAGTGGGTGAAGGTGACGACTGCGACGGCGATTGTAATGGCTACCAGCGGGCCCGAGAAAGCGGGGCCCGTATCGAATTTCGACGCGTTGGTGGGCTTGAGTGGTTATCTCGGTGTTATTATGCTTTTTGCTGCAGATAGGGGTCACGCTCGGCGACGCCGGCGACAGCGAATGCAATGGCGACGACTGCGACGACAGTGACGACGACGACGACGGTTTCGACGATGGCGACGGCGAGCGCGACGGCGGCGACGGCGAGCGCGGGCTGAATCCAAATCGCATTTTGACACCCCTGGTGTCGGAGCACTCCTCTGGAACCACCGAGGTTCTCCCACACGAAGTAGGGAACCAAACAGAACACAATAAGAAATATTTTAAAAAAATAATCGAAGAGATTCGCTCGTAGTGTTGATTGACTCAGGGCCCCCTCGGTACTTGATTAACAACGGCGTCGGTGCGAACTCACGTGTGCGACGGCACACGTATATCAAATCACCATGAATCATTCACAGCACTGCTTTACTGCAACACATAATCATGATAAGTGAAACTACATTGGCACTGATCCTGTGCCATTGACACAGGGGGGAAAAAGGGAATCCTTTTGGTCCTTCTCCCAAAGAATATGAAACGTGCTCGCATCCATGCCGTCATATCTCACCGGGGGTACTATTCCATCCTCAATCTAGTCATTTGTTCAAGCCTCAAACTCGGCACTCAATGATGCCGTCTTTTCAAACTCTCGCAAATATTGAAACCTCGGCGTGGTCAGGTCACGCCTGTACGTGCACTGGCTCTGGGTGCTGGCCGTCCGCACAAGCTTCTTGTTGTCCGGCTCTCTCTCGTCGTTCGCTCTATGCTCCATCGTCGTTGTGTCGGCCTTCTGCTCGGCCATCGTACGTGCATCTCGATGCACACGCACCTTGTCCATCAGTTTCTGGTCTGTCGTGTACTTGAGCCAGCACGTAGCCGCCAGTGCGCATCCACAACAAAGTATAATCGCCACCAGCAGACCAAACAACGAAACGAGTACCCATGGAAACTCCGTCTCGACCTTCTCGATCTTCTCGCCTTTGACACATTTCATAGCCGCCGCAGCCACAATCTGTGCAATCCTCCTTGCCGTACGGGTGCTGCCAATCGTCGCACGTACATGCTCTCTCAGCTGGTCCTCATGCTCGTCGCCGTCCTCGCCTTCTGCGTCTTCAGCCTGATTTGCCTCATCGAAGTCCGCCGCCGCTTCGTCCAGCTCTCTCTCTCTCTCTCGGCTTGAGCCCGTTCTTTCTGACTAACCTTCTTGCTTGCCGTGAACGTCGCGTCGTACTTGAGTGCGTGCGTCATCCTTCTCAGCTTCTCCACAAATTGCTGCCGCACCTGCTTCGTAAGACCGTCCGCCATCTGCTGGGGCGTGTTGGTCCATCTCCATACACCCCCGAACTCGCGCATCTTCTCATTGACCTGCAAGATCTCGATCCCGGTCCTGCGCTCCGTCAAGCCTTTGGCTGCCGCCTGAGAGTTCGCCACGTCGTACAGCGCCTTGCAGTCCGTGATGCATGGTCTGCGTCCCAATACCTTCAACATCTCCGTGCCTGTCAGCTGCATCGTAGGGAAGAGCATCGTCGTGAGCATAGTCTTCGCAAACTCCAGCGCGTCCACTGCGTTCGCCGCGCTCTGAGCTTCGCCTGCCAAAGAGCTCCGACTGATCCTCACGAGCTTCTTGCTCGCCCAGTCTACTATCAGCAACTGCGTTGGCTGTCCGTCGTCGATCCTGGCATCCTCGATCACGAAGATCATGCAGCCGCCCTGCGATTCGCCATTCGGCCTCGTAGCCCAGGACGCGTCCCGGTGGACTCCAAGCCTCAGCTTGCTCCAGGCTCCCACGTATTTGATGCGGATCCCCACATCGCCACTCGCCTTCAGGCACCTCAGCGACTTATTGGCCTCCAATAAGCTACCGACCGTCGCCTTGCTGACGTCGCCTTGCGCGACCGGTACCGTCGCCGCCGTTTGGACCATGCACTGAGACGCTGGCCACTGCATGGCTCCGTTCAGCCCTCTGAGCTGACTGATCTCCTTCGGTGTGCACGGGTCGTCTGGATGTGTCCTCCTCGTCTTCGCGACGCTAATCGGCTTCACCTTATGTATATATGCCTCGGCCTTCACCTCAATCTCATTACGTGAAAACGACTGCGTGTTCTCTTTGCCACAGCAAACGCTACTGCTCGAGAATTCCCGTTTGCCGAACTTGAACCTCTGGTTGAGCCTCTGCACCCGGTCCAAGAAGGTGCCTTCGTACGCCTGCTTGTTATAGAGGTCCTCCTCGCGCTCGAAGTTCTCGCCGCCGCCGATGAAGTCGTCCACGTGCAGCCCCAGCACGCCGTCCAACACAGTGCTGGTCGTTGTCCGCCTGCCAGATAAGAAACAGATCGTCCCCGTCGAGCGCCAGGCGGTACGACAGGAAACAGCTTCTGTCCAGCGCGTGCTGCAGGAAGCCAATCTCGAGCATGGCCTTCGTGATCGTCTGATTCAACTGCCTAGGGGCTCGTACGTCTCCACAAGCGGGCTTCAGCATCTGCAGGATCTCGTCGTCCTGCAGGCCTGCAGGCCCATCATCTTCGCCAGTCGACGTCGTATGTCCTTGGCCGGCCTGCTGAAAATCCGAACTCTTTGCTCTCTGATGTCCTTCGCCTGAAGGAATGCACTCTTCACGTCCGCTGCCACCATCTTCCAAGCTTGCTGGCACAGAACGAGCAGGATGGGGAACCTCGTGAGTCGCGTGAGAGTAGGGCTCGCTTTCTCCACGTTAGTGCTGGTCACCTCTTCCAGGTGAAAGCCTTGCTCGCCTCTTTCACTCCATCCGTCATTCTCCACTTCAGCAGGAAACGCAGGGGCACACTTCTCCAGCGTCCGCCACCATCTCCTTAACTGCCTGCCACCCTTGGTTCTCGATCCATGGCTGCAGCGCCTTGATCTTCGCCTCGTCGAGCTGCCTCCGCTCGTCTAAACTTAGCCTGGCCTCCACCACCGAAGCCTTTCTGGCCGCGTTGGTCAGGTTGACCGTGTCCGCGTCTTCGCACAGTAGGAGTAGCTCGTCGCCTTCACCGCTGCTCGCTGCGCTGTCCGCTGTCGTCACGTCGGTCTGATTTGGTCTCTTTGGTAGTGGCCGTAATCCGTCCAGTCGCCTTGCCGCGTTGATGGCGTCCAGCAACTCGTCACCGTCCTCGGCCGTGTGCTCCTCCGCCTTTCGCTTCTCAACCGCGGTCCGGTTCGTCGTCTGCTCCATCTCGACCTGCTCAGGACCTGGTCCAGCTGGTGTCGTCTCGCGCTCCATCTCCGGGCTTCTCACGTCCTGTGACGCGTCAGCCGAAACGTCCGGGCGTGGGGGCTCGGACGCCGTGCGCGCCTGCATCTCGGCCACCTCGGGTACTCGGTCGCAGTCGTCGCTCTGCTCGCCCTCGCGGTGCTCGTCCTGCCGATCGGCCTCGGTCGCCTCCACCTGGCCGTCAGTGTCGACGCCCCTCATATCCATCTGCATGGGGAACTGCTCGTCCTCGTAATCCTCCGGCTGACCGATAACTGCACCAGTGTGAACGGCCCGTGTGGTCCGCGAATTTCGTGGATCCGCTGGTGTTCTTCAGCTTCTCTAGCACTCGCTCGGCCGATGACAGTGGCAGTCCGTGATCGTCATCTTCTTCTTCTCTTTGTCGTCGCTCCTCTGGCAGTTCGGCTCGTAACAGCTCGTGCGTCGTCTGTATGAGCGTGCTGCCATACACACACCACAGCACTGACTGTCTAAGTTTACCGGGATCGTCCGTGTACTCGACCTGCGTGATTATCGCCGGTCCCTTCCAGTAGCTCTTGATGAGGTCGCTTGTCGCGCCTCCAGACGTACACCCACTCGCCGACCTGGAATTCTCGAGAGAGGGGCCGGTTCTTGGCCGCCAGCGCCTCCCGAACTGCTCTCGCCACGTTCGCCGCCAGAAAAGCCTTGCCTGCGTCCCGCCTGCGCGCCAAGTTGCAGTAGAACTCCTCGTCGCGGTCGCCGAGGTCGCCCGTAGCTGTCGGCTCGTCCGCCAGGCTGCCCAGGTTCTTTGACTGTCTTCCTAGCGCCCGCTGCAGCTGGTTGCGCGCGTCGCAGGTCATGCGCACCGCAAGCTTCAAGCTGTCCTCAGGATGATCTTCATGATATCGTGCTATCTGCTCCCGTCGCACCTGATGATTCCGCTCGAGTATGCCAATTCGATGATGAGCATCCCTTGGAATCAGCTGCAGCTTGATCTGCCGACCGTCGCACCACTCCATAAACTCGTCACTCACGTGCGCGCCACTCTGGTCAGCTCGAGTCTTGGCCGGCGCTCCAGCCCAGTTGATCCAGTGCTTCTCGAGCGCATTGATCTCGTTGCGTGCCTTCTCGTCCTTCACCACCGTATCGACCTCGAACCTTGAGCTCTCGTCCATGATGGTGAATATCATTTTGTGCTCGTCCTTCACACCACATGGAACGTGTCGACATCCACGATGTCGTTGAATACTCGATCCCGCGGGATGCGGGCGACTCGCACTGACTTCGGCCTCAGCCGCTTGAGGCATGTCTCGCATATGTATATCCTCGCACAGATGATCAGTCGGTCGTCCGCGTTCATCTCCTTCAATGCTGCTGCCAACGCCTCGCTCGAGGGATGGCCCATCTGGATATGTAGTTTCTCTACCCACTTGACCTCCTCGATGGTGAACTTCTCCAGCAGTGCTTTCCACACCATCTTGTACTCGGTCTTTTCGAGGTCCTCCTGGGTGATCTCTTCCACCGCGTAGCTGGCCTCGTTCTGCGGATCGTCCACGATATAGATCGCCGCCTGGAATGCCATCTTCCTCGGGTAGTTCTCCACCCCACGCATGTTGTGTCCACCCTCGAGACTCACGTGCTTATCCTTACAGCTGCATGTCTTCCAGAGTCCCTCGAACATCTGGAGCTTCGTGGTCCTTACGTTGGTCGGCTTCTTGGTCGGTCCGAGCCTTTGACCTGCCGAGTCCAACGCCATGAGTCCGTAGGCGCACTGGTTCACGAACGTGTCGTAACCCGTCATGCCGTACCACGCCTCGGTCTCCCACGACGTCGCGTACCGAGGGTGCTCTAGATACGCGTGCCTCTCCGCCTGCTGCTGCGCCTCGTAGATCTCCCTGAAACTCAAGGATTCGCGCTGCTGCTTGGCACGCCCTCTCCGTCGCTGCTGTCGGTATTCGTTGCTCTTGTTCGCTTCCGCCAGTGTGCTGATCGTCGACCATACAGTGCGCGGTGGTGCTATCCACACTTTTTCCGGCCTCTTCTTCACCAGCTCTGTCTCCAACGTAAATTTTTCCGTCTTGAGGTTGCCGTGTTTCTCCACGTAGTGCGCGATGCGTCCTTCTGTCACGAAGATCTCTCAGAACCGCCTCTTTGCCTTCGGCTTGCTGTCCAACGTGCGGTTGGTCTCTGCGAACAAATCCTCCAGCTGCTTCGCATCGAACTTCTTGGTCTCCGCATTCTCGATCTCGGCGTCGCCGTAGCTGCTGGTCACGAAGAAGTCCGTTTCCTTCTCGCTTTCCATTTTGTGGTCGCCGTCGGTGTCCGCGTCCGTTGAGCTTGACTCCTCATCTGCCGCTAGCACATCGGACGGGAAGCTAAGCAGATCGATGATCATATGGCCTTTCTCATTCGTCCCCATGTCGATCCACTCCGGTGGCTGATCGTCTAGATACATTACTTTCTTGTTGTGGTAGTCGATAACCATGCCCCATTCCTCGAGACAGGGCCTTGCCACCAGCAGAGACACTCTTCCTGGAACGAGGTAGACCGTTATCTGCCTCATCGCGTTCCTCACCCAGACAGGGAACGTCACCTGCTGCTTCGCCGTCGCAGTCTCGTCTTTGCCAAACCTAAACGTATTTTGGCACCTTGCCGTCTGGATCTCGTTGGATAGGCCCATCTTCTGCAACTTCTCGCGCCATGCTGGCCACTCCTCGAGAACCATCACTGGTTTCGCCGCTCCACTGTCGCCGACAACTTTGCCCGTAGCCAAGTTCACCTCTTCTATCGTCGTCGTTTCGGGGCTCGGTGCGATCTCCGTCATCCATCTCGTCGTCGCTTGTACCGTGTTCCGTTCTGCTGAGTCGCACTTGCCGTTGTCATCTTAGGCGAGCCTTCGGGATGCCGTCCACCCTTGGCTCCACCTCTGCCTCCATATGGTTCTCTGCCGCCGTACCTGCCTCTTGCTTTGCCTTTGCTTGAGCTTCCACGTGACTTGCCGTATCCCGAGCCTGCTCGTCCTCGTCTTTTGGATGGCCGCATATTGCTGGCCCGCGGTGGTGGTAATCCTCGTCGGTCATTCATCAACGCCACCACCGGGTAGAATCCTCTCGTTGTCGCCAGCTCTCTCATCTTCGCCCTGGCCTCCGTGTAGTTCGCCAAGGCCTCCTCCGTCGCTTCGTACGCGTCCTCGAGTTCCTCGGGGATCGGCTCCTCGTCTTCCTCATACCACACGTCGTCTTCTTAGTACAGCTCGTCCGTGTATTTTTTCTCGTGCCAGTAGGCATCGTCGTCCTCTTCTTCGGCCCAGTAGGTGTCGCCACCTTCGTAATTCTTGCCCCAGTACGTGCTCGTCACGCGCTCGATATCCTTCTTGTGTGCTGTGCTGTCGCCACCGAACATCGCCTTGAGTGACTCCGTCACCACCTGCACTGTGAGCTTGTTATTGCACAGCGCCTTGAGGTTCGGAATCTGCCATCATGGAATCGCTGACCTCGTCATCATGTGCTAACCCGCCAGCAAGTCCGGTAGGTCCAGCCCTGCTTCTCGTAATTTGGACAACTCCTGGCCGTGTCGTAACCCACACGCGTTCACAGTCTCCTTCAGCAACCTCGAGAACTCTCCAAAGAACGCGTCGCATCTTCCTGGCAACTCCACCTCCTGCGTGTATCTATACAGAACGTCCAGCTTGCCAAAAATCTCATCGAACGCTTCGCTCGTGTCCATCCTCTCGAAGCTGATACTCTCGCAGGCGTCCCAGGCATCGCCTTGCAGCGCCTGCAGCCAGAGGTATGACCCTTCACTCACCACCATATCACCTCGGCGCTGACACAATCGCTGGAACACAGTCGCTCTCCTTCTGAAGTTGCGGTGCGTGTCGTGCCGTAGGTCAGTCGCGTCCAGGCAGCTCTTAGCCAATCTTGCGTCCATCTGCGGCTGTCTGTCGCCTTTGCCTCGACCTTGGTCTCGGTCTCCATCCCGTAGGTCACCGTCCGTGTCGCCGTCATCCAGCCGAACATTGCCTTTTGGTTGATCCGCTGTGCCGTCACCGGCATCATCTGCTGGCTGCTGTTTGCCCTTGCCCTTGGGTGGGTCGTGGGCCGCCGCCGGAGCCAGAAGATCTCATCTTCATCTCGAAGAGTGCGATCACCCACGAGCGAGGTCTCCGATTCCTTTTGCCGCGGATCTGGAGCCACTGACTCCGCTACCAATGTCGGTAGCACTCCTCTGGAACCACCGAGGTTCTCCCACACGAAGTAGGGAATCGAACAGAACAGAATAAGAAATAGAAAGGGAATCGAAGAGAT